ACATTGTCAAGAATTCGTTGATGAGAAAGATTAGTATACATAGTAGTGAAATCAACTGTATGCGGGGCCAGACCTCTAAGAGAAGCTTTATTCTTTTTGAGGTCAAGTATGACCTCGTCACTGCTCTGAACAATCCAACATCGTCGAATACCTTCGGTTCGAAAGAGTTGATTATCTTTTTCGCGAAGAGTACGGATGACGCCTTGAAGTGCTGTACTCAAACGAGCCGAAGTAGGCGTTGTACTAGCTACCGGCTTGTGAGGCGGTCGGTGATGCAAACGCTGGACTCGTTGGGAAGGGTGCAGGTCACTTCGCCGGGCCGTATGGGAAGAGGAAGAAGAAAGATTGTTTCGGGCAGTGATACCAAGAGTAGGACGGAGTGTGGGAGGAGATTTATGGGCCTTAAGAACACAATAGAGATACGGCAATGTGTCAGCATGAGGATAATTCCAATGATTGTTCCAAACTGCATGGCTATTCAGAATGTCAGCCACTGATTCAGCAGGCCGAGAATACGTATAGAGAGAGAGAGAGAGAGAGAGAGAGAGAGAGAGAGAGAGAGAGAGAGAGAGAGAGTATAGAAGAAGGGGATGAGACAGCGGATGAGGAGAAGGGGAAACAACAAATATCGTAAGTAAGGATAATCACGTTTATCCATCCTGTCTGTGTCTCCTACCCATATCATCCCTGCGACCGGTAGCAGCGAGCGGCGTGGGTAGTGGGACTGTTGAGTCAGACCCTCGGGCTACCTTTCTTCCCCCGTACGGTCATTATAACTGTATATAGACTGCAATATACCCCAAATACAGCTGTAATTACCGTACGTTGTATTCGGGCGAAGAAGGTAGACCGAACGCACTTGCTGGTTGGTTTGGTCAACGACGACCCAGGCTGGTTGGTTTGGTCAACGAAACTACTTGCCGCCTGAGTGATGCTGACCCTTATGGAGCATCGGCCGCGGGGCGACGGCCAATGGTCCACCGCGCGCCGTAGCCGGGGCCGAACTTTTTTTTTCTTTTTTTTTTTTCTTTTTTTTTTTGAACTTTGGGCGAGGAGCGGTGGATGAAGGGGATCCAGAGGGGGGAGAGACGCGCAGAGGGGGCAGCGCAACGAATTGTTCACAGCGCGGCATCCAACGGGAGAGAGGCGCAGTAGCGGCGGGGCGAGGGGGGGCGTCGATTGGCATGAATAATATCTCGAAGCGCTGCCGCCCCATATGGGAGGACGTGTCGCGTTCAGCCTTTTTTGGTTTCTTCGTTTTCGTTTTTTTTTTTTTTTTTTTTTTTTTTTTCGTTTGGTGTCGCGTTCCCCTTCGTTTTTTTTTTTTTTTTTTGTTAATAAGAAAATACCCTATGTTCTTCTCTCAAATCTTGCATCATCTTTCAAATTGTTTCACTTACATATTCACTACCTAACTACCTACCACTTCTCCTAATAAGGCTTATTTATACAGGGGACCCCTGCGAACATAGCTTTGTTGTCTCCCTCCAGCCCCCCATCAGAGGGGATGCATGTTGCGCGCCTCCTTTTTCCTTTTCCTTTTCGTTTTAGCGCATCTGCTTTTTCCTTTGGTTGTTCGTTTTCAGGTTCCAACTTGTTGTTTCTATTTGTGCGTTGTCTTCTTGCGCTGCTTTCCTCTTCTTCTGCCCGTCGTCGTCGTTTCGTTCCGTTTCCCCGTCGCATTCTGGCTTTTTGTTTCTATTCGCATGTCGTCCTCTTCGCCGTTTCGTCCCGCTCGCGTGACTCACCCTCTCTCTCTCTCTCTCTCTCTCTCTCTCTCTCTCTCTCTCTCTCTCTCTCTCGCTCGCTCGCTCGCTCTCTCTCTCCCTTCCCCCCCAAATGATGCCAAGTGTGCGTGACTCTACTTTCTCTCTCTCTCTTCAAATGATGCCAAGTGTGCGTCACTCTACTCTCTCTCCCTCCAGATGATGCCAAGTGTGCGTGACGCTCTCTCTCTCTCTCTCTCTCTCTCTCTCTCTGTGCGTTTTCCGTAAGACAAATTGTAGTATCTGACAGTGTTCTGATCCGTGGTCCATAGGGCCGTATATATAAAACAAAGAGAGAGAGAGAGAGAGAGAGAGAGAGAGAGAGAGAGAGAGAGAGAGAGAAGCGGACGGCGGTTGTGGGA